GAGAACTTCCATTTTGCAGTCTGCGCTTGTCTCGCTCGTGGTCTTGCGGACACTACCACGAAGACGAATGCCATGCGAGTACTCTCGGCCTTCCTAGATATGGCCGGCAATCCTATCGGTGATACTGGGAAGCCGTCTGATGACTTATCTCGGTCGCCCTACATGGCTCTCATCCTCGCACGTACGGTCGAGAGCGATGAGCTCAGGGACAGTCTATGGCTTGCGGGAATTGACCCTTCCCTCTTACGAGATATCACTGGCCAGCAGAGATACGATGATCTCGGCGGCATGAAGGATAAAGATCTCCTCCTGAATACGGCCATCGAGTTAATTGACTTTCAGTACTTGGAGGATGCACTGCAGAACCGGACACTGCAGTGGCTGACGGAATTAGCAGCAGCCAGGCCGTCTGTAATTATGCATCTGTAAGCTACTACCTCTCCTATCTCATCTGAGCGGACTCTTGGACTGACTGAATCACAGCTGTGGGCCTATTGTTTCCATCCTTGACGATGTGCTTCTGCATTGCCAGAATTCGTCAACCTTGGAGTCTGCACAAGACTTGCTGCATGCACTCACGTCAAATCCAAAGTTCAGCACAGCGCTAGAGTCCACAGCCGTCTTGAATGAGATCCTTGAGGATATGGGTTTCAGCGGGTTGTGGCGCTCGTGTTCGTTCAACTTCAGCCAGGATCAGGATAGGAAATGCTTCCTTCTGACCGAGAAGCTAATCGAAGTAAGTCACAATTACTGACGCCGTACTAGACACAAAAGTGCTGACAGTCCTAGCTTATCATAGTGTAGTTAGTAGGAGTGTCTCTTGGAGGCAAAACAATGAAGTTTTCTGGAGAGACGTTTCTGAAATCTCAATACGCATAAAAAATGAAGAAGAAGAGTAAAAGAGAGCTGTAATTAAAGTAATGCTTCTGGACTTGTCTCTATTCTGAACGGACTGCCGACCAATGAGGCCTCTCGCTCATCACTAGCCACTTTCAGCCACAAGAGGCCCAAAGACTGGCCAGCATCACGATTCTATATGCATATCTATCTTAACGGAAAATATTGGTTTATCCAATTCTTTATCTCATATGGGGCTGACATAAGGTAGCGAATGGTATGCAAGTGTAGGTCAGCTGTGTAAGATAGGTAGGTAGGTCAGCTGTACGGAGCATCTGCACCTACCCATGTGGGTCTATAGCTTTTCTCCACCAGTCCAAGACAGATTTGCCGCAGGCCCGTATGAACCCGACCACCTACTCCCGAGGACCGACAAAGTTCCGTCCTTACTTGCCTCCTTTCATCTTTTCCATGCTCATCCAGCTCACGGCGACGAAATTCCTCCACCACCGCCCTATCCGCCACCATGTTGCGAAGCTCTGTGTATAGAGCCGGCACTCGGGTGCTTCACACCTCAAAACCTACAAGCTCATCATCATGCTTCTCTACCATCGCGTCGCGAACCTCGACGAGGAAGCTCACTGCTGCCCGTCGCCCCCTGGCCTTAACCAGCCAACGTCACTATGCGAACGCGACCGACAATGCCCCGAACCCCAACGATAACTTCCTGTCCGGCAACACTGCCAACTACATTGACGAGATGTACATGCAGTGGAAGCAAGATCCTAAGAGCGTTCATGTCTCATGGCAGGTCTACTTCAAGAACATGGAGAACGGCGACATGCCCATCGCCCAGGCTTTCACTCCTCCCCCGTCTCTGGTTCCTGGTGCCATTGGCGGCGTTCCAGCACTCGGCGCTGGTCTCGGTCAGGGCTCTGAGATCACAAACCATCTCAAGGTCCAGCTTTTGGTGCGCGCCTACCAAGCTCGAGGCCACCACAAGGCCAACATTGATCCCCTTGGGATTCGAAACGAGTCTCAGGGCTTCGGTAACATCAAGCCTAAGGAACTGACTCTTGAGCACTACCAATTTTCTGAAAAGGATCTTGATGCCGAGTATGAGCTTGGACCCGGCATCTTGCCGCGCTTCAAGAAGGATGGCCGCGAGAAGATGACTCTCCGCGAAATCATTGATGCTTGCGAGAAGATTTACTGCGGTGCCTACGGCATTGAGTTCATCCACATTCCCGACAGAGAGAAGTGCGACTGGCTGCGTGAGCGAATCGAGGTCCCTCGACCTTTCAAGTACTCTATCGACGAAAAGCGCCGCATTCTCGATCGTCTCATTTGGAGTTCCAGCTTCGAATCCTTCCTTGCCACGAAATACCCGAACGACAAACGTTTCGGCCTTGAGGGTTGCGAGACTCTCGTCCCCGGTATGAAGGCGCTGATCGATCGCAGCGTCGACTACGGCGTCAAGGATATCGTCATCGGCATGCCTCACCGTGGTCGCCTGAACGTCCTGAGCAACGTTGTAAGAAAGCCCAACGAATCAATCTTCAGCGAGTTTGCCGGAACTGCCGGCGCTGAGGACGAAGGCTCCGGTGACGTCAAGTACCATCTTGGTATGAACTTCGAGCGCCCTACACCCTCCGGCAAGCGCGTTCAGCTTTCTCTCGTCGCCAACCCTTCTCACTTGGAGGCTGAAGACCCCGTTGTACTCGGCAAGACCCGCGCTATCCAGCACTACAACAATGATGAGAAGACGCATCGCACAGCCATGGGTGTTCTGCTCCACGGTGACGCTGCCTTCGCTGCGCAAGGTGTTGTCTACGAATGTCTTGGATTTCACTCTCTTCCTGCCTTCTCTACCGGCGGTACAATTCACCTTGTCGTCAACAATCAAATTGGCTTCACCACCGATCCCCGATTTGCCCGCTCCACGGCTTACTGCACCGACATCGCCAAGGCCATCGACGCACCCGTCTTCCACGTCAACGCCGATGATGTTGAAGCTGTCAACTTTGTGTGTCAGATGGCTGCCGACTGGCGTGCTGAGTTCCAGCAAGATGTCATTGTCGACCTTGTGTGCTACCGTAAGCACGGTCACAACGAGACCGACCAGCCCTCTTTTACCCAGCCTCTCATGTACAAGCGCATCCAGGACCATGAGTCCCAGATTGCCATTTACGTCAACAAGCTTCTCGAGGACGGCAGCTTCACCAAGGAAGATATTGAGGAGCACAAGCAGTGGGTGTGGGGTATGTTGGAGGAGAGTTTCTCCAAGTCCAAGGACTACCAACCCACTTCCAAGGAATGGACTACATCCGCGTGGAACGGTTTCAAGTCTCCCAAGGAGCTTGCGACTGAGGTCCTTCCTCACAACGAGACAAGTGTGGACAGCAAGACTTTGAACCACCTTGGCGAGGTCATTGGCAGCACCCCCGAGGGCTTCCAGCCACATCGCAACCTCAAGCGTATTCTGTCTAACAGGACCAAGTCTGTTGTCGAGGGCAAGAACATCGACTTCCCCACTGCGGAAGCCCTTGCCTTTGGTTCCCTCGTCACCGAAGGCCACCATGTTCGAGTTTCCGGTCAGGATGTTGAGCGTGGAACTTTCTCTCAGCGCCATGCTGTCTTCCACGACCAGGAGACCGAAGACACCCACACTCCTCTTCAGCACGTCAGCAAGGACCAGGGCAAGTTTGTCATCTCCAACTCTTCCTTGAGCGAGTTCGGCGCTCTCGGTTTCGAGTACGGCTACTCTCTGTCTTCTCCCAATGCTCTCGTCATGTGGGAGGCCCAGTTCGGTGATTTCGCCAACAACGCGCAGTGCATCATCGATCAATTTATTGCCTCGGGTGAGGCCAAGTGGATGCAAAGGACTGGCCTTGTCGTATCCCTGCCTCACGGATACGACGGCCAGGGTCCAGAGCATTCTTCCGGTCGCCTCGAGAGATGGCTACAGCTGAGCAACGAGGACCCTCGCGTCTTCCCCTCCCCTGAGAAGCTGGACCGCCAGCACCAAGACTGCAACATGCAGGTCGCGTACATGACTAGCCCTTCCAATTTGTTCCACATTCTTCGCAGACAGATGCATCGTCAATTCCGCAAGCGTAAGTCTACCCTAATCATTCGATACTTCTAGTCCTTGTTGCTCATATTCACTAGCTCTCATCATTTTCTTCTCCAAGGCTTTACTCCGCCACCCATTGGCTCGTTCCAACATTGAGGAGTTCTCTGGTGACTCTCACTTCCGCTGGATCATCCCCGACCCGGAGCATGAGACTGGTGTCATCAAGCCTAAGGAGGAGATTGAGCGCGTGATTCTCTGCTCTGGCCAGGTCTGGGCTACTCTATCCAAGTACCGCGCCGATAACAAGATTGACAACGTTGCGTTTACCCGCATCGAGCAGCTGAACCCCTTCCCCTGGCAACAACTGAAGGAGAACCTCGACCAGTACCCCAACGCCAAGACCATCGTCTACTGCCAGGAGGAGCCCCTGAACGCTGGTGCTTGGAGTTTCGTTCAGCCTCGTCTTGAGACTCTGCTCAATAACACTGAGCACCACGATCGCAAGCACGTCATGTACGCTGGCCGTGGCCCTAGTGCATCTGTCGCCGCTGGTAACAAGGGTCTGCACAACAAGGAGGAGCAAGAGTTCCTTGAGATGGCTTTCTCCGTCAAGCAGGACAAGCTGAAGGGCGAGTAAACAATGAGTAAAATCAAACAGACATGACATAGCGGGTGAAAGGGAAGAGCTTTCGGACAGGCATGGACAGGATCAGAATAGTGGGAGCGACGTCTCTCTTGTACAATTGTAAAATATACAGCTTTCTTATAGATTCTGAACCACAGGTCGGCCCTGTGGGGTGTCCTTGAATGTCTGCAGCGAGCATGTAGGTTATTGCAGACAGACTACAGATGTGAAACGCTCGGACCTATGTCTCTACCAGCTTACTGGGCTCGAGGCGGAGAGTACGAATGTTCGGGTTCCGCAGAAACCCAATGGTTGACTTGTTGTGTCGTAATGTCGAGCAAATGGTCCCTAAGGTTGAAATTTAGTAACTAAGGTCGTCCCAGTGGCTATTGAGCTCGAGAATTAAGAACCTACCAATACGGCTTTCAAGTTTAATGGAGTTTTATGTGCTTATTGGCATCGTCAAGCCTCTTGACCATTTGCTAATGGAATTTCCGACGTTGAGCTTTGTGGAATAGTCGGAAGTGTTAAGACGGTTGGATGCTGTGTAATCTTAACGAGCGAATTGAGTAATTTGATTTCGACCTTTAACTTAACGCTGTATACGAGTGCTCTGTATGCTGGCTGAGCCGTAGGTAAAGAGGCGAAAGGTGACGCAAGTAACGTCAGATCGAGAAATATAACAAATCCATTGACCACTAGAAGGGGTGTAGCCAAGTCCTTTCTCGGGTTTCCGTGAGCGGATGATTTGAGCCTAAAAAAGCTGATGGCCGCGTGGATATATAAGCCCGAAATAATTGACTCTTCGATACAAAACATCATCATTTCGACTTTCCTCCAAACGAAGAGAACTTTGAACCATGTGATAAGGTTGGATGGTTTCGCAGTAGTACCAAATTGAAACACCATGGTCGGAATGTGTGTAACAGCCCCGAAAATGATGATCATAAGAAGAACGGATCGGAGAAGAAGGGGTTCTTGTCTTACTAGATGAAGACGAGAATACAACACCATAGATTGACCAGAAACCATGAGAATTGTCCCTAGAACAAGAAGAAATATCATGTAATAATCTGGCGATCGAAGGGTGTAGGCTAGCAAGACGAACCCGACAGAATAAAGAATGATTCCGTTTGTGGCAATGACGAAACTCCAGAAATACAGCCCAGACCTACGCACAAAGGTACTCCAGATCCATAAATCTAGTTCGACGACATTGTACATTGCGATACTGTGAAAAACAGTGGCTAAGATGAATTCGAAGGCCGGTGTTGAGCATCCATCCCGTACATGTTGTGGGATAAGAGCCGACATGCTTATGGAGGTTTTGACAAATGATGATTTTAGACGACGGAAGAGGGATTGCTGACCAGGACAGCTTAACCATCAACAATGGGTAAATCCATCGAACTTTAAGTCTCAGAGTCTTGACTTGGTGAATGTCTGCCCCATCAACTGCTGGACGGAGTCAATGTATGTTTATATATGTATACGTACTTTCATCAGGGATAACAGCGAATTATATATCTGTCCGATCCTACTTCACTTATACCCGCCTATGAATAGTTTCGATAGAAGGTGGAAGTTATAGAAAGACCGGAGACGGATATAATGATAGAGACGGCTAAATAGATTTGGACTTCAACTCCTGAGAACCTCGTAAGACGCCTTCTATGTCTCGGAAATAGTTATCACAAACAAGAGACTTTTGCTCACCGACCTTTTACGAATCTTATTTCGAAGCCTTACCTATAACACTGATGTGCCTAACAATGAAACCTTGCTTAACAAGGCGGTCAGTAGGATCATAACCCTCAGTGTAACCTAGCAAGATCTCGATGTATAGCTTTGTGGCCTCCTTGCTTGGCGAGTCACAAAAGTGGTGGCAGGCCACCAAATGTCACTCCTACGATCTCACAGGTGTACACCTCTTCGCGGTCTATCGCAAGATAGCTATGCATCTTTGCACCCTGCGGCATATTGCAGCCACTTCACCAGCCATCATGGTCTAATCTCAGGTCATTACAAGAGAAGATGCAAATGCTGACGGAACGATGATGTGACTGACATACCTGGTGTCTTAGTAGAAGCCCTGTTGCAGGAAGCACGCACCTTGTACATACCTATGCTACCGTAAAAACTCGCAAAACTTGAACTTGCGTTAGCCCGTACTAACTTTATAAGCGCTTTAATAGAACTATTCATTTATATTTTCCACTTTTATTAACTATTCAGGTAGTTTTGAATATTATGTATATAGTATTAATATATAGTATTAATAATTACTTTTACTTTTTTTATAAAAAAACATTTCTTTTACTTTTTTAACTTTTCTTTTTCTAAGTAAAAAATTATTAATATCTTTATAAATTTATAATACTATTTTTAATAATACTATTATTATATATTATTATATAATAAACTTTTTTATATTTATTTATATGATATAAAGCTAATATTAAAGTATAGATATAATAAGTTATATTAATTTTTTTTTAACGGAGTAATCCGCTAGGGCCGTACTATATATTACGTATTAAAAAAAATTAAGTATACTGCGCTCTAAACCTAATTACTAACTAAAATAGCTCCCGACTTTTTATTATAGTTTTTTAAATTTTAGCTATTTGAAGCGTAAGCTTTATTTATTTTAATATATATTAAACCTCTTAATACTAGCTTATATAAATAGCTAGGCTTAATATAGTATACTTTTTATTAATTAAGCTATAGTTAAAAAAGGGGAAAGTTAAAAAAGTAAAAGGAAATCTAAAAAAGATAGTCTATTAAGATAGTAGGAGTATTTACTAATACTATATATTTATATTATATAAATAATATCGAGAATTACCTAAATATATTACGACTTAATATATATATCTAACCTAGAGGCTAGTTTACTAAGCTACGGTAGCTATAGTATACTATATATATAAATAAAACAGGAACGTCCCTACTCTTTACGGAACGGAAGAACTATAGAATAAGTTACGTAGTAATAAAATAACGATTATTTTAGATTAAAATAATTTAATATAACTTAGGGGCTAAACGATTATTTTAAATTAAATTAATTAAAAATAACTTAAAAAATAAAGAATATATTTAAAAACGAGACTTATATATAGTATAGATTTAAACTAGGCTTAAAATAGACTTCCTATAGTTTTTTTAATAATTAATTTAATATTAGATTTTATAATCGTTTTTAACTATTTTTATTAAAAATCTATTTTAATAA